CAAGGACTAGGGTATTATGCCCGGGCCCGCAATCTTCACAAATGTGCAAAAGTGGTCATTTCAGAACATAATGGCCAATTTCCAAAAAACATGCAGGCGCTGTTAACGCTTCCTGGAATTGGATCCTATACGGCTGCAGCGATTGCTTCAATTGCTTTTGCACAACCTGCCCCTGTTATGGATGGCAATGTTATTCGCGTGTTGTCTCGGCTTTTTGCGATAGAACAAGTTCGTCCTAAGTTAGATAAAGCTGTTTATGCAAAAGTTGAAGAGTTGACACCATTAGAACGGCCAGGCGATTATGCACAGGCGATTATGGATTTGGGTGCAACTGTTTGCACACCCCGTAATCCAGAATGCAATGTTTGCCCTTGGAGCAAGAGTTGTAAAGCTTTTCAAATAGGAAATGTCTTACAATTTCCACGAAAAATTGAGAAAAGCCAAAAGCCAACCCGCTATGGTGCTGTTTTTATTCTGAAAGATGAAAAGAGGAAAACATACCTTTTGGAAAAACGTCCTGAAAAGGGCCTCCTTGGCGGGCTTGTTTTCTTTCCAACAACATCATGGCGCGAGTCAGGGAAATGGCTTTTGGAAGAAGTTACGCAAGAGGCACCGTCAGGTATTTCTTGGACGCCTCTTCCTCCTATTGTACGCCATACATTTACACACTTCCATTTGAAGCTGCAGTTGATAGAGGGGCGCATTTCCAGTGTAGATCAAACCAAGGGGGTAGAGGATTTCCTGGTGAAGAAGGAGATGGATAGTTTGAATGCTTCAGATCAGAAGCAAAAAAGGCCTCCAAAGGAGCTTTTCTGGAAGCCTTTAGAACAGTTTTCAGACCTTGCCTTACCAACATTAGGCCGCAAGGTGGTGCATGCCTTTCGTAGCGTGTAAAAAAGCTAAAGGCTTTTTTTGTTGAAGGGTTCATCAAGTGCCCATGAGTGCAATCGATCTTTGGTGCGATTGATAAGGTCTTTCCAGTTTCCAGGTTCTTTTTGACGCAAAAGTGCCATTGAAGGATACCAAGGGGTGTCTTCTCTCTTCAGCATCCAGCGCCAGTCTGGTGCAAAGGGGAGGAGTGCCCAAACGGGGATTCCTAGCGCTCCTGCAAGATGAATGATGGCTGTGTCAACGCTGATGATCAAGTCCATGGAAAGCAAGCGTTCTGCTGTATCCTTAAAGTTTTTAATGGACTTTCCCACATCTAAAAGAATTCCTTGAAG